ACCAGATTCTACTAAGAGATCTGAATCTTAAGTTTCTGTTGACATCAGGAATTATCTTTAATAGTGTAAGAAATAATTTACCTCAGAAAATGGTTCCAAGAGTTTTATTTCTCTCAATAACCGGCCGTTATAGTTATCATAAATTCCCAGGAAACCTTCAGATGATTCGGTCCCTTTTATAACAGAGTTAATACACAATACATCCAATTCATTTTCATAATCTACATCATGGATAGTCTGAAATATAGAACAGAATATAAGACAATATTCTTATTAAATTATCATCCAATAATACAGACACAGAACAGAACAAAACAGAGACCACAAAATAGAAACAGAACCTCATTGGCAATAATAAAATCAGATAATTCCTTTCAAGTATGGCAAAATCGAGAGTAAAAGTTGTATAGTAATGACTCCTCCAAAGTGAACAGAAAAGTAGGAAGTAAAATTCCATTTATTTCATTTTTCATTTCCCAAGTGAAGAACCATCATGTGTTTTGAAAAGAGTAAGCATGGTCTGCCTCTCGCGTGACACCCGCCACTACAATTTAGGTCAACACCATGAGATACAATCAGATCAATTTATGCCTGACCAAACAAATCAATTCATAAATTTATTAGAATAGAAATAAAAGCATGCTGTAATCCATTCAATACAATATAATACAATACTATACAGCAAACTACAGTACATTATTAATGCAATACGACACAACACAACACAACACAACACAACACAATCAACACAACTCTTTATTACAACACAACAAAACACTACTATAAACAATACAAAACAAAACAACACAACACAAACACTTTAGTACCGCACAACAGAACAGAACTATTGAATTAGCAAAGCACAAACAGTTTTTCGAATTTTTCCTATGATTTTCAAGAGAATTGGAATATCAGCCTCAAAATAGTACTGATAGTCTTAGAATGTCTTTGCGTTGATAAAAATATAATTATTAGTTTACATTGAAAACAAACACATTTCTCTCCAAGAAATTTCAACCCAAAAAAAGTCTCAAACTTTGGCTGAAAATTGTCCTCTGTAAAAACAAATTTTGAAGAAATAATGTGTGATCATGTTTGTAATTTCATCAAAGGAAAGACATTCTAAGACTAACAGTACTATTTTGAGGCTGATATTCCAATTCTCTGAAAAATTATAGAAAAAATACATAACACTTTATTCTTTGCCCAGACAATAAAAATAACATAAAACCACTAAAAACACCACAGACAAAATTCTTACCACATTATTATTCTCTTCTCTAATTTCATCTAAACTAATTTTCCTTTTTATCTGTCTTCCAGATGAACTAAATTTATTGAAAACATCTTCTTTTTTCTGTTGAATAAAACATAGATAAAAATAGGGGCTTGGGGGCTAGGGTCATATTTTGTGGTCTGGTGGTATAATGGTTACGAATTATCTTGCGGGAGATGCGTCATTTCTGGTTAACTGGAACCACAGGCTTATTGGAAGAATGATTGGAATTTCCCAAGTAGAAGTCAAAGGTCGCTCATGCGCATAAAAAAGCTAGAAAACATCTTTACAATCTCTTTAAAAGACCTGTCATATCACTTGGTAAAACAGTCTTTATTTCACAATAAAGTTAAAAATATCCACATTCATTCCTCAAGTATTGCCATGAGAACATAGATTATAACAAATAACATTAGATACAAACCTCATCAGAACATAGATTATAACAAATAACATTAGATACAAACCTCATCAGAACATAGATTATAACAAATAACATTAGATACAAACCTCATCAGAACATAGATTATAACAAATAACATTAGATACAAACCTCATCAGAACATAGATTATAACAAATAACATTAGATTCAAACCTCATCAGAACATAGATTATAACAAATAACATTAGATACAAACCTCATCAGAACATAGATTATAACAAATAACATTAGATACAAACCTCATCAGAACATAGATTATAACAAATAACATTAGATACAAACCTCATCAGAACATAGATTATAACAAATAACATTAGATACAAACCTCATCAGAACATAGATTATAACAAATAACATTAGATACAAACCTCATCAGAACATAGATTATAACAAATAACATTAGATACAAACCTCATCAGAACATAGATTATAACAAATAACATTAGATACAAACCTCATCAGAACATAGATTATAACAAATAACATTAGATACAAACCTCATCAGAACATATATTATAACAAATAACATTAGATACAAACCTCATCAGAACATAGATTATAACAAATAACATTAGATACAAACTTCATCAGAACATAGATTATAACAAATAACATTAGATTCAAACCTCATCAGAACATAGATTATAACAAATAACATTAGATACAAACCTCATCAGAACATAGATTATAACAAATAACATTAGATACAAACCTCATCAGAACATAGATTATAACAAATAACATTAGATACAAACCTCATCAGAATATAGATTATAACAAATAACATTAGATACAAACCTCATCATTCTGATCATGAACAACTATATGAAAATTGACTTGTAATTTACATTTATTGTCATCTGATTCTACTATCTGTAAAACTCTACAAATAAAAAATACTTTGAATAGAACCCTTCAAAAAATTTAGACTATATCTGCTCCCTTATATTATATTGACAGTTTTAAAAAACTAAAAAAACTAAATTTTGTTGATCAATCATATAAAGATCAAGATATAAAAACCATTTCATCATACTTTATCTAGAAGTTACTTAAATTTTTTTTAAAGAATGCACTACATTACACTACAGAATAAAAACCTGAGTACTACAGATCTAAACCGCAAAATTAAACTTGAAATCCAGAACAACATATTGACTATACATTGGTATATAAGAAAGTATACGGCTATCATAAATGGAAAGTATTTCATAATGAAAAGAGGTGCCAGGTACCTAGTAGAATCCATATATATCAAAAAATATCAACCATAGTGTCTTGAGACACAAACAGGCTACAAACATCTTTTGAATCCCTTCAAGACTCTGTAATAAGTAGTAACTGTGAAATATGAGGATATATATCACTAATGTAGTTGTACAAAAAGAACTAAACATGTGTATATCTTACCTGACATTGTTATAACCAATATGTACTATTCTACCAGACTCGTCATCATGGAATGTAGCTGTATCTAATTCTACACTATCATGGTCATAATGTAGACTGCCTCCTTCTATCTGAATAGAGAATTCATATCAAATTAATATCAAAACCCAAAAAACAATATTATAAATGTAAAACAATATTACAATAATATTATGTGTATAACATAAGAAAACTGTTAAAGGAGCACCTTCACTTTCCATTCGACCAATCATAACTTAGTTTCAGAAACAGGAATTTTTTTTAGCTTACATAATCAGTAAAAGTATGCCATATATAGAAAACACACATATAGGCATAGACAGTGAAATTTCTAGTTTGAGGTATATATGAAGGGATTATGTGATTTTAGTACTACTTAAGACTATCAGAGCACAATAAAGTCCCAAATCAATCTCTGAAAATGCCGACTGTTCCCCTTGAAAATAGTGCTCAATTAGTCAAACTCTGAATAACAACATGTATCAAACTATGTTTTAATATTTCTAACACAGTATTAAAAGTATAATACAAGAATACCCAGCCCCCACAAACTAAACAGTTAATGATTTCAAAGTGCGCCAAAATATGAAAGTATGTTTGAGTCTACTTACAACTTGTCTGTCCATGAATGAACATACAGAATAGCGCCCCAAACTACCATGAGGTGTTATCATATAGTGCCAAGGGAAACCACCCATCTGAACATTATGTTCCGAACATTTCACTTCCAGAAGTACAGGGGGGTATTCTGTTACCAATATATTCACAGAAACACTGGTTGTGGATCGGTTAATACTGCTGCCATACTGAAAAATAAATGCAATATTCTCTGAGATGTAAGATTCCACTATTTTCCATACTTGACTGGGTTAATTTGAGCCCTAAAGAGTTGCAATTCATTTATTGACATTTCAAGTCATGTGACTGATTTTCCATAACAAAATAGAGTTTTACGTCTTACTTTTCTGCACCATGTGGGCAAATGAAAACTGTCAACACCATGCAGTGTGCAATGAGGAAATTTTATCAGGACAGCATTATTAGCAAGCTCTTTTTCATGTGTACAGCACATAGTGTCTCTGTTCATTGTACCATTCGAACAAAGCTTTTTCGATGTCAGACCCTTTTACCTGCATCACTGACAGGGGTGCTATCTAGATCTATGCCAAGATTGAATCCTGGACCTTCAGGTAAGCGAGCAAGCATTTAACTCGCTGCATCTCCCAAATTTCATCAAATCAAGGAATGGAAATGATGTATACCCAATATGTTTAATATGGTTACATTGAATAAATAATACTTACTAAGTGTCATAACTATACAACACAATTCCTCTATTATCCTAGAAATTCATAAAACTTAGTAATCATCCCCAAAAATACAAGTAAATATTGAATAACACTCAAATATTATTAAGCGTTTTGCAATAATTTTCAAGTTTTATGGATTTATTGCCATATACAGGGATCTTGTTGTTTAGGTATAACACAAGGTAAGTCCACTGATGAAAATATATACTTTTATTTTTCAAGATTGAGAACACAAATTTTATATCAATTCCAAGAGGCAGTAGGCTATTCTTTAAATATAGAGATTGACCTACCTGTTTAAGAATGTGATGAAAACTGAAGAATCTAACAAAGCCAGATTGATGCATGATAATTAACATCCCACCAGCTACCATACTGTCTATAACATCTTTACCCCATATCTATGTCATACGTAAAATACTTTTAATGAGGCAGCGCAAAATTTTCATTATTATAAACATAAATCTTTCTATATCACTCTACACTTGAATCACTGACAAAGGAATACAGAAAACTAAAAATAAGAACAACTGGAAGTCAGTCTAGAAATTATATCTACAGACCTGTCTATCTATTTCAATCATTCCAACAAACTTTAATGGTAAAACATCAAATACAGCTATTACTTTCACAATAGTACTCTCTCTTCCTGCCTACAATATAGATGTTTCACATGAAACCTAATCAATTACGTGAGCATTCAGATGATAGTGGCAGAGCCAGATGTTCCAGAAGAGTAATCATACTCAGTCTAAATGGCTACACTTGCCATGCATAAATAAAACTACAGGTATTATTGAAAAATGTTTAATATTTTTTCAGTGTTTTCAATAATTACTTAATTCAAAGATGGGTTCTCTTATTTTCATTTATGAAAATGAAAATGCTAATACTTATATGAATAGAAAGTAGAGGTGTTCTAATGACTTGGAAAAATACCAGTTTGTCTCACATGTCCATAATCAATTCATAATTAGCTAAATTAGAAGAGAATTACCAACAGAATTCCAAAGAGTGACCAATCAAGAAAGGTCAAGAAGTGTATTTTTGTTTATCTGGACTGTACATACATGAGCATTTATGATTGGTTTAAACTCTTAATATTATAAGCAATAGTAACATAATGATATAATTAAGAATATATGATAATTCATTAGAAACACCAAATAATCAAAGAGGCTGTATCCTTTTATGAGATCATATATAACTTACCTGCCTGTCAAACTGTGTTAATTTATTATGTACTGATCTAATAACAAACGTCTCTTGATCTACAGCCCAGGCTATTTCTCTATAATAACAATCATAATCAATGTTTATACATTTAGATGCTGGAAATTACATGGAATTCAGTTTTACATCCTATTTTAGAGATAAATTCTGTAGAATGAAACTGAGTATTATGTCCTACTTTTCTGGACCATGTTGGCAATGAGGGAAATTTTGCCAGGACAGTGGCATTAGCCTGCTCTTTTTCGATTTCCAACTGTCGAATGATCTTTAACATGCACAACCTAGAACACAGGGCCTCGGTTTATTGTCCAATCCGAACAACTAGACGCATTTTCCATGTCAGCCCCTCTTTCCTGCATCACTGACAGGGGGAAACCGGGTTGAAAAATCCAAAGGTATTATCTCGACTTATGCCGGGATCCAACCCTGGACCTTCAGGTTAGTGAGCAAACATGTAACTCACTAAGCTAAAGAGGCTCCCGATAAATTTTGTCAAGAAAAATCAGGTAAAGATGAATGAATGAAATGTAATTGCACATTGAACAGCTGGAGAGAACTAGTTCGTTTTGAATCTTATCTTCGAGCAGTGTACCATGAGGGAAATTTTACAATGACAGCTGCATTTATAACATAGGATTTTACATATAATTAGCACTGATATCAGACAGGAAAGGAGAATAGAAAATGTCGCCTATACAGAAAAGAAAACCCTCTAATAAATTCCTCCAAAATGTAGCTGATACTTATTTTACCTGAATTTAAGTCTTGAGTTGATGTTTAACTCATGTAATATCTGTCCAGTATAAGAATTATAAATACGTAATATATTATTAGCTGTTATAGAAATCAGCTGATCTGCCTGTTCTTCTCGTGGTAAAATTAACGAATCCTAGAATTTACAATAGAAAATAAAAGGCAATAAGTGTCATTTAAAGCGTTTAGGATTTCAGTCTCAAGTCTGTAATTCAAGAACAACTTGTCCATATTATCACGCCTTTATCTTCAATATCAGTCAAATCTGGTACACATTCAATAGACAAATCTTCAATTAAAAGTCATCAATATTTAAATCAGCTGATTTGTTCATGAAGCAAACAAATGTTTCTTAATGCTGAAACTTGAGATTTTCATTAAATATTTCTTAATTGTCAGAATAGGTAATCTTGAAATGGAGGTCAACTTTCAAAGCAAGAACACTGGACATATGAGCAAGGTGTACAAACTCAATGAAAAATTAAAAATTGAACAGTAGCCTCAAATCTGTAAAAGCTTGTAAAGTGATCGAGCTATTCTAAACAGAGCTCTGGAAATATTCCAGAATCTTACCAAAGAAGAATGAAGTATCAAAGCATCTTCTATTTTTCTATCTTTACTGACTGAGGGCAGATGATAAGATTGATGAGGACATCCAGATAGATTAGACCTACAAAAATACAACATTTTTACTCTTTGTCTTTTTTTTTGATGGCTTATGTGTCACATTATTCCATAATCTAATTCTGTCCACAAGTGATTCCAATATAAACAAATCATCACGATGGAAATAGAATTGAATGTAGAAATGTACAATGGATCCAGCTATATCAAAATATTTAGTAAATTGTCCAGAGTCAGCTGAGATAAATCTTAATTAATTTAGATTTTGCAATTCCCCCTGAAATTAATATACCATTTGATTAGATTTGCAGATTATAAGATCATTCACGTGATGTTATTATATTTTTGTTAATCATAGAAGATTTTGGAACACAACGAGGTTTTCTAATTTGCAAATTGCAATGCAATACTATATATTGAATCAACAAAACAAACAGTAAAACCCATTAGAAAAAGCAATAAGATACAGTAGTTTTTTTTTGATTTTATCATATTTTATTGTATGAAACAAAAGGATAAGGCACAAGTTAAATCAACTGAGGTCTACCTATGTCTTACAAATCAATATAAAAATAACCAGTTTTATTAATCTAAGAGATAAAGATTGGCTGTTAAGAGAAGCTGGGAGAAAGTGTAAAGGTAACTTGGACGTTGGATGCCCGATTTTGATGTAAAGGTGTACTAACATGTGCAGGGCGGTCAGGGTACCGTCCAGCACTGAACAGTAAAAGGAGATGTACGAGCTTACATCGTTTGGGGAGGCTATAGGGGCAATCTAAATTTGGAGCACCCAGGGGGAGAAATTGTGCAACAAAGAGAGAAGTGGGGGTGTCCAAGTTTAGATTTGTCATTGATATCATTGGAAAGTTTGCAATCTGATAATCCAATGGAGTTAAATGGAGGACCTATTGGCTGTGTAACATTTGTGTAACTTGTTACACAGTTTTATTAATCAATAAATATTTACAACAATTCTTAAACTTATACTGCCTGATTGGTGATTGGGTCTTCAAGGATTACAATCATTATATTTTAAACACAACGTTTCGACAATATTCCACTGTTGTTATCAAATGTAGAAAGTACAACAAATTCTTAAACTTACCCTGAGTAATGTAGTCGATAATTATCAAAAAATAAATAATTTATCCTAGAAAATAGAATTATATTTTTATTAACTGGATTACACGTATTGAGCTTCCAAATATTGTCAAATAGGGTGGTTTAATAATATTTCATTATTCAGGATACAAATTACTTTTTTTTTGTATAGCAGTTTTCTGCTTTATGGAGTTGAAATCATATAGCACTTTTTTTTAACGATGTAGAACCTGGTGTGTGGGTTTTAAATACCAAAAGCACTACTGCCCAAACTGCTAATAAAAATTTGCGCTAAAATAAATATTGTTTATTTTAAGGATCACAGATTTCATACTGTGAAAAGAAACATTTCTAATTTGGTTGAATTTTTGTTGAAAGATTTTGTTTTGACTGGTTAATGACTACTACTGACTCTAACACCTGAAAGATAAATAAATGAAAATGGCACAAGGGTTGGTTAGTCAGTACATAACAACTTAATGTCTGCTTCCAGCTGGCTAATATTGCACACTAAGCTGGTAATTAATGGAATTAAGTTTATATTACCCTTCGCATGATATATGTCTTGTTGATTGCTTCTCCCAAACTTTTCTAAACTTTATTCTACCCTGAAAAGGAAACATGAATTGAAGTAGGCTTATTGATGAAATGTTTTCCAATGTAGCCTCGTTGTTCAAACTTTCGAGGGATTGTAAATTGTGCCTACAGGACTTTATTCGAAGGCCATGAATTATTTTACATTCACTTTGATTTGCAATACCAAAACCAAAACCAATCAAGCATATTCTATCATAGACACTGATTCAAAAGGTATATCTTTACAAGCCAAAATTTGCAATATAAACACTGTAAACTATCTGGTTACGGTCATTTTTAAATAGGAAAATAAGTATATATGGTTAAAGATGGGTTCCCTTATTTTCATTTATGAAAATGTAAAATGTTAATACTTATATAAACATAAAGTAGAGATATTCTAATGACTTGGAAAAATACCATTTTCTATCACATGTCAATAATTTATTTATAATTAGCTAAATAAGAAGAGAATTACCCGCCGAATTCCAATGAGTGACTGATCAAGAAAGATCAAAACGTCCTTCTTTGTTTATGCAGACTGTACATACATGGACATTTATGATAGGTTAAAACTCTTAATCATATGCAATAAGAATATATTGATGTGATTAAGAATATATGATAATTCATTAGAAACACCAATTAATGAAATAGTTTTCTTAATTTGACACTAAAAGATAGTGGACCACAGCCATATACGCTCAACACGGCATGCGGATGGTAAATATTCAAGTTTTGGGGCAAGGGCAATAACTCTACTTCTAAATGTCGAAAATGGCTCAAATTCGAACTTGATCTTCCTATTATGAATATGTATACACATACCGAATTTCATTTGATTCCATCAAAAAATCTACTTTTTAGAGTAAATGTTGACGGACCGATGGACGGACAGGGGTGCCGACAATATACAGCCACATAGAGAGATGTGGGCGCTTAAAAATAAGGAAATCCATCTTTAAGGCCAGAGTTAGTTAGTGCAAGCCGTTTTTGAATATGATTACTGTTAGGAATAGGATTTTTCTTCAGCATTGTCATAAGATTTTGTAGAATATTTTCTGGTTAAAACCCTTCTACAATCACCAACCCATCAATATCCCAATACATAAAGTAGGCAAGAAAGCAGGACCTATGATCTTAAAGTAGGAGGGGAGGCTGGCAGCTGTGCTTCATCATCAACAGTTGACATCAAAAACAAAAGAAATCAATCTTCATTCACCTTACAAACAATAGTCTTCAATATTTTACAATTTCTCCTGTATCCATCTTTGGGCCAATATTCTCTTTGTCGTAGTTTGAGGTAGATATTTTCATCCCGCTCCATCTTTGTTCTCCAGAACTGTGTGACAAAATCACACTCGGCAAACTTTTCACTAAAGTAGGGAGTAAGGTATTCTGAATGAGCTTTTCAGCATATGACTTGAACTCTCGAGTGCCTAATCTAACACATTATATTACTGGATGACAATCGTATTATGTTGTTTCAATGACTTAGCAATAAATCATGCTATGTATCTTATTTTGTCAGTCACTATTTTTTTTAAATCATGGTTCTTTGAAGGAATTGTCAGTGGTTATTATGACTTGAAAATAAATTGATTATAAATACCAAGAGATGTTAATTATACCACTGGGTATCCATACAACGTCTTCTTCTCGACTTATCTATAGATCAAATATTGTACACGAAAATAGGTGACTGCATTTTGCGGCCGTTGTCGAGTTGTTACTCATGAAATATGGGTCAAAGTAAATAAAGAAAATCGAAACAAACCAATTTGAATTATTTTGTAGAATATCTGAGGAAACATCTAAGCCATACAAAAGGATGTTGAATCCTTATATGCACGAAAATAGGTTATACCAGTCCACTGTACTTTTATAGAGAGTGTCGACTATTGGTAGTACCAGAAGCCTGTGTTGCAGATCCATGGATTTGGCAACAATCTAAGAAGATTGACATGCAATTGCACAGTTATTTTGGAGTCTAGGCTAAATATTTCGGAAGAGGCATTCACAAAATATATTTTTGCTGTTTGTATAGAAGAAATTAAAAGTTAAAAAGAAAAAATTCAGATTATTTTTACCGGATGTTGATTTACATGGACAATCTTTTATGGTTTCCAATTTGAAGAGTTCTAATATAGAGTTGCTTACCTTCAATAAAATCAGACCGAAACAGATTTTTGACGTTGCCTCCCTACACAGACGCTTTGGTGAAAGTAGTTGTAAAAACATTATATAATTGAATTTACGAAAGCATGGACCGAGGAGAAAGTTCAGCAGTACCAATTACTGTTATGTGCAGAAGAACTAAAACTGAAACTAATAGATTCACGTTGCCAAAATTTTCGATTGTGTTCTATGATTGTGTTGCAGCTTTAAAACACCCATGTCGTCATTACAAAATGCATATGTCAATGCTGCAAGGTACAATTGTCGATTCGTAAAAATGCAAAATGTAGGCCTATAATATTCTCCAAAATCCAATGAAGTGCTACATGAATGCAGATACAATTTTGAATTTTACACTTTGCATTAGGGGCCTATACACTTTGCATTTTGTACACTACATAATCAAGCCTTGCACGATATACATGTACTTTACATAATCGAACATATACCTAATATGGAATGATGATGTATTCATTTGCATACGTAAAAAGACATAATATGGCATGCAGTAGTTATATTTTGGGAATTGTAGGTTGCGACATTGAGGTTAAGTAATGTTACGAAAGCAAAGGCATGCAGGTGTAAACTCTAGTGAGAGAGTATTGTTAGTGAAGTTAGTGTGAATAATAATATAGAATATTTGAAATGAAAATCATTGAAAAAAAAGAAAAAGCATTGGCACAGACACATGCTTGCTGAGCTATTTGTTCGGGGCCCCGTGTGCTATATGCTTTGTTGACAGACACGATCCTTCGACAGTTGAAAATCGGAAAGAGTAGGCTAATGCCACTGTAATACCCTGCAAAATTGTAATTAGCCGGAAAATGCCTATAAGTGACGATTTTAAAAAAAGTAAAAAACTGTAAATATTTCATTTAAGTTAGATTTTATGAAAGCTCATTTAATTCCCTTTTGAAATAAATAAGACATAAATAAATTTTGAGAATTTTGTATGATGGATCGTAATTTTTGCACGAAAATGTCTAAAAATGAAGTTTAAAAAAATTTAGATTTAGATTTTGTGAAAGCTCATTCGATGCCCTTTTGAAACATAAAAGTCTTAATATTGAGAATTTTGTACGAGTGGCTGTAATTGTAGCCGGAAAATCTCTATAAGTGAAGATTTTGAAAAAAAAACGAAAACTGTTTTAATATGAATGTGCCAGGTTTTAACCTAGATTTTATGAAAGCTCATTACTTCCCTTTTGGAATATATAATTTGGACCCTAAATGGGTCAAGTGGGCTGCTATATGGGTCCAACATGGGCTCCCCATATGGTACTCATGTGGGTTAACTGGGCTACACATGGACCCAGTTAGCCCACATGGGCCTCGGTATGCATTTGCACCGTGGCACCCATGTGGGTCCCTGGTGGGCCAAGTGGGCTGTATCGTGGGTTTCATATGGGCTACCAAGATGTTACCCATGTGGGCTATCTGGGCTACACTTGGGGCCAATAAGGGCCCCAGGTGGGTAATGTGAGCAAACTGGGTTTTTCCCGTAGTGCAAATCCTGATGCATTCAAAGACGTCCTAAAATGTGAATTTCCATTCAGGGTAATGAAATTCACAAAAAGAATTAAGTTCCATCCGTGTAATCGAAACACATGAATAGAAACAGTAAATTTTTCAGAATATTAGTAAATTGTGGAACTTTATTTATGAAACATTAAAGGCAGTGCATGCAATGTTTATGTTCTGTATTTCTGTGTTATAATGTTTAATATTTTGTACGATGGGTCGTAATTTGAGCCCGAAAATGTCTATTTTATTTAGATTATGTGCCTAATGTACTATTTTTAGATCTACTTTCATTTTATATTATGTATCCATAACAGTGCTTGGTTAAGGAATATTTTTTCGTTTGGGCGAGTTAGTATCACTATTTTGAATCGGCGGCTACTAAAGGTGTGCTAACTTGAGTAGCTTGCTAGCTTGTTTTCAGGTGCTACAGGCTGTGTTCGTTAAAGACCCCTCAATAGATGGAAATCATTTCATTTTCTACAATATGGTTCTAATTGTCGGTAATGTGATGAACGTGTTTACTCATAAATAATATTATAGAATCTTGGATGATCTCAATACTTACGATAATTCGGTAAAGGGATTCTGAGAATTTTCATGTTCTTCGTGACTGTGGACATGTTCATTTTATAATTGGAAAGTAAAATGTACGACGACATAGACGATCTTCAAGTATAATTCATAAGATTTATTTAATTTCTATATGACTTATAATTCACAGAAAAGAATTCACACTTTTAAGAAAATAAAACAAATCTATTATTATAGCATCCGTAAGGGCAACTGTGTGCCAACTTCATAAACATAGGACCATTCCTGTCTCTCTATAGCAAATAATAAATGAATTTTATATAGATATAGAGTAAATTAATATTAATAGAGTGAGAAATCATTGTTTTACTATTTCATGTTAATTGGTGCAAAATATAAATGTCCTTACATAAAAGAAATGCATTACCAATTCCTTTAAAAGAAAAACGAAAAAGCTCTATTTACATAAATTTTCACCAATAAAAGCACCGTTTCTGGAAAAAGTCTGATGTTTACTTGGTAAATTGTTCTTTGTTACGTTAAATAGGGTACAAATAGGAAAACTTCCAGAATTCCAACTCATCAGTTTACAATCAGCCAGCGCCACACATTTTGTTCTACATTCGGCACGGCTTTCATGTGATATTGAAATAGCTGGTATTCCATGTAGTTCACAACTTTGAAATGATACAAACGAGGCTGTACACCGATCATCATTAGTACATGATTGCTGACATGAAACTTGATTTAGTCGTCCAGATGGAGTTGCATAGGGTGATTTCGTTAAGTAAGTATTCTCTGTATAATATTTGAAACAATCTGAAATAAAAATTTAACATTTCACGATATTGAATCATGTAAAGTAAGAAGGCGATTCTGGGACACTGCTTTGATAAATTCACGGTTCAATTCAGTAGCAACCTTGATTTCTAAATTTCTTCGTTAACACTCTAGAATTGACAGTTTTATTCTACACGTATTTTGAATGAACTTTTGACTTGTGGAAATAAATCTTGTGACTTGATATGTTAGCAAGGAATTCTGGGACACAGCTTCGAGAAAACAAATATTCAGTAACATTATCCAAAGTGTATGTATATTTCAGTAAATGGTTGCCTTACCTTCACAGGTTATATTTGCCTCCCATTCACGAGCTTCAGTACATATCACAAGACCATCATTTCCATATTTACCAAATCCAGGGTTACAAGTATAACTATATTCAATTCCAATATCTCTTGATGCTATATCAGTGTCTAAGGCGCCATTTTCTATTTCCGGGTCTGACATACATTGACCTATAAGGAAGTCAAAGATGATTGGTAAATATCCAACATAAGACTATATTAAGACATCGTTAGATTTGAATATACAGTCTACCGTGAAATGTCTACCATGAGATAGTGATAAGGAGAATACGGATCCATTCATCTTTCGAGAGTCGAGAATGAACAAGGCTCATGACAAAGTCAAATAATTCAAATATTCATGCTAACTATGTCAACCCAGATGTATATATTGTAGGCATCTATCTCGATCCGTTCAAATGTCACCGTTAACACTCAGGAAATTCCAGTTTTAATCAATTATCAATAAATGTACCTTATGCATATAAATCATATAATTCGGGGCCGTAACAACATCAAGGCAAATCCCCCAATGTTTTCTCAAATTAAAATTTAGATATAAAATCTGCTAAATATATCGCTTATTTGATGTCTACATTAAAGGTGGTTACCGTTTGATGTCTAACAAAAGCGTAGACCTAACTGGGATATCATAGTGTATGAATATTTCAGAAGATAGTTGTCTTACCTTCACAAGTTATATCTGCCTCCCATTCACCAGCTTCATTACATATCACATGACCTTCATTTCCATATTTACCAAATCCAGGGTTACATGTATAACTATATTCAATTCCAATATCTCTTGATGCTATATCAGTGTCTAAGGCGCCATTTTCTATTTTCGGGTCTGACATACATTGAGCTTTTATTAAATCAAACATGATTGGTGAATATCCAACATTTTGAGATCTTGAGATGTATTCTAACAGTCCATCGTGAAAGCCGTGCCATTATAGATGTAGGGGCCGAAAGACTGTTTCGTGATAGGGAGAGGTATTATCGGTAATACTATTACTAATAGTATCATGTACAACTTATTTTTATATTTATTTGCATACCGTTATTGTCTGTTAAACTGTAATGTCATGTTATCATGTACATCGTAGAATGTACTATATAAGAAATAAATATTACTAGTATTACTTTAACAGTTTAACAGAAGATGGTGATGAAATACCAAACTACGAGTCGAAATGTTAGCCTGTGAGAAAGGCAAATACTGATGAATACTGGTATCTTTATGGAGTTCAATAGAAATATAAAAGGGCTGTATGAACTATCCTACCTAGTTTGCAAACTGGTCTTTTGTATTTCCACAAAAATTGTATTTCACTTTTACATTCTATCGCCGCTTCCATTTTATATCCGTCGCTGCAAGTAATCTCTACTATATCGGAACATTGTTCGTTCCTATGAAAATCCGCGTTGTTTTCATTAGGATAACCAGCACAATCTGAAAATTTCATATATTATTATGTATAAATATGTTTCATTTCAGTTGTCCATGATAGTATTTCCAGACTTATGTTGACCTTCTATAATTGTCTTTATAATAAACTTTTCTATGCGTCATACTATCATTATGACGCGAAACTAAACTAAGGGGAAGAAACAAAACAGCAGAATTCAACCTTGCTGTATCAAATATCATAATTTTGGACCGAGTATATCCATTTTGCAGTTTCCATTTAAAGCTGATACATAATAAATATCAACACTTACCGGCATCAATAAGAATCAGTGTCGTTACTGATAACAACGAAATTGAACACACGATAGTATTCATCTTTCGAGAGTATAGAATGAACAAGAATGTTGACACTGACGAATGCTGAGTTGGATTCAATATTTATACTATATTCTTACACTCTTACTGTGCAGATATTACATCTGACACTCAAATAGCGTGAATGTTATTTCTCTCCCTTTTTTTTTTTATTAATTTAACAACACGCAGTAATTATTTTAGATCAATGATATGATGATAATAATAATAATAACCAGAATGTGAGTTATATTTATAATTACAAAATGGAAGATGATAATCATAAAGTTCATAATACATCAGTCTTAATTGTCCATTCTATTTCTGAAAATCATCGAAAATCAACTACCGGACAATACATTGTATTGTTCTTGACATAGCCGACGATCACTTCTGAAGATGTCTGAAATTCTAAGCAGTTTTTATCCACCCAGATGCATATATTGCTGACATCTATGTCGATCCGTTAAAAAATTGTCCGCAAACTCTAGAAGCTTGAACGTTTTAATATATTTTAATCAAATTCAATGAACATAGCTTGTGTAAGTAAATTATGAAATGAACATTCAGTTTGAATTTATAGGTACAATCTGATTATTTGAAAAGAGATGCGGTCCCCGTTCCAAATCTGTTTTCGCACGATCCTCCTAGACGTTGAATGAATGCATATAAGATAATGGTGGATATCATCATATCCAGATAGTGTATTTATTTGTTTATGTATGAACTCTGTTAATATCTCTTTTACTCATAGTTGTTATATATTTTATTATGGTTTATTCCCCCATTATTTTATCTGATGACGACACGTGTAAATTATGTTAAAACAACTTTATGTGTTTAATAAGTTTATTAAAGAAGTGTGCTTATTCAATAATATTGTCTTGTGTTTGTGATATGTATTTTAAAATACTAAGATAAAATAAGACAAGATTCATTGTATGAACGCCCATTGTGGATGCATATAAATATAAAAGAGTAGAATAAGGTGAAAGATATAATGAATGTAGATTTAGTATAGATATATGTTACTTAATATATAAAACAATATACAGATGCCACGGTCCTTTATAGACCGATAACAAACATGAAAACAGTACAATAATGTGAAAAGATTAAACGAATATAGATGCAGAATATACATCAAAATAACAATAATACACAATATAGAGAAAAATACAGGTATCATGGTCCCTTTTTACATTCATCAAAAGCAAAAGACACAAAACGAGAAATGTCTTTTATTATAAAAGGTGGTCGGCCTAATATAATATGAAGGGATAGGTATAAATTTGTATAATAAGTCAAAATGAGCGTTAAATATTTCTCTCGGAGCCGACTGTATCATACTAGGACATACTAGAAGAAAATGCTGTTCATCTTCAACCTGATTAAGATCACAGTGCTGACATATTATACAGGGACATGTCTGTATCGACCTCTCTCTATTTCCTAAGGATGGTCATTTAGTCGAATATTTGTTAAATATTTTTTATATTTTGGATTTGTTATGGAAAAAGGTAGATTGTGGGGTTAGAAATAAAGGGTTTGACTTTGGCATCAGTTCGTAATTTGCTATGGAGGCAGCATAAATCGTTTCGAAAAAGTTTTCAATAGTTAATGTAATATGTTTTGAGGATTGATAGATATCGATATTAAATATATGAATACGATTTAGGACAGTCTGTGTCCAGGAATTTTGAGTGGATAAATCATCAATCATGGGAAAGTATAAAAGTATGGAAGGTCATCAGTGCCAAAAGCCGGTGCTAAGTAGAAATGTATAATTCACTAATGTTATGTAGATAATACAAATATGTTAAATAACGGAACGAAATGTTATGGTATACTACTCCTTAGTTTTATTACACACTATGTTTCAACAATCTACATTGTCATTATCAGGTGGGGCTATTAAATCTTTAAATCTTTAAATCTTTAAATTAAACCCAGAACTGAACAAGATTCTCTCCCAGAACTTAATAAGTCATCATAATCAACCAAGATAATCCCCCATTTTATTTTTGCTTATTGTCACTCTTAATAATCCCTAATTAATTGTTGCTATTGTTATTTTTGTGTATATATATACCTTCTTGTACCATATTTCCTCAAGTTTCCAGCATCCGCTGGAAGCGAACGTTAACTTGTCATCTACCTACCTACCAACCATATTTCCTCACTTCATCTGATGATGACAATGTAGGTTGTTGAAACGTAGTGTGTAATAAAATTGTGTTCCGTTATTTAATGAAATCTCTACCCCTCTATGTCGGCTAAAGGATTACAACTATGTAATTGACCTTTTGAATTTTTCACGCGTCACTAGTTTTTTTTATCTCTTTGCTTAATACATTTGTATCTTTACAATAGACCTACAATACAGAATCGGTTTAATGATCACGTTGCTAAGTCTCAAAAAGTCTCACGAGACCGAAATATATATATTTTTTACAATTGACACTTCGTCATTACTTCAGTGGGCGGCCAATTTTTGTAGTGATTGAGACATTTGTACTTAGCATCTTTTGGAATTGATGCCCTCCCATTTAAAAGAAGGTTTTGATATTGAGTTTCGGGCTTAAGTAGTCTTTTTAGATATAAGATCATACAGAGATAAATTTCAGTTTGAATTGGAAAAAGTGAGAGTTCAGACAAAGCTCCAATATTTGAGGACTTTTTGGGTAATTCTAATATAGATTTGGCAATTTAAAACTGTAGAATCCAAATAATGCCCATCAAAAACTGTTTCTTACTTCAGCTTGATCAGATATATACATAAACGTAAATAGTTGATATTCTTCTGTTCTGTTTCAGCATTTTGTGTTGCATAAAAGATATTCATATAAGTATATAAATAGGCGTATGAGTCGGGAGAGCTGTCCACCTTCCAGCGTCAGCGTCCGAAAAACTATCGTGCAATAACCTGAAAACAAAGAAAAATTCATGGGAAAATTTCGGGCGAATTAGCCTGATCCCACCCCTCCATCAGGCATTCGGCCCGTAAGTTTATGAGTATGTAAATGTCATCATATTTGTTTAGCAAAAAAAATATTAAAATATGAAATATATGAAAATATATTAATTTAAAAGTTTTTATTTATTAGTAATTATTGGCGTTATCAAAACATAAAGCTATGATATAATACATGTACATCCATTTACTGAATTCAAGGGTCGAAAGAATGAGAGAGGCAGTGAAATCGGCGGCACTTACAGGGGTCAAACTTACCTAATGGCAATGTTGGCTTAAGCCTTCCATAAACTGTTATAGATGGTTCCCCAAGATTATTTGTGAAAAGGAAAATCGATTCGACGCATTCTGAGTAGTGAGAGAGAGGGGGTGTTTGTAAGGAGAGACAGAGAGCATGTTTATAAGGAGTAGAGAGAGGATGTTG